GTATAAAATTTAATATAAAATTTAATTTAAAAGTTATAAAAAATTATAAATTATTAAAAATACAAAAATTCTGTTCTGTTCTAATAAAAACTTTTCTAAAATAAAATATTTATTAAAACTAATATTTTTATAATAAAATTAATAATGAAGTTTAAGCAAAAATCAAAAAAAATCAATAGGTTTAATAATATAAATTTATGTTTAAAAATTAATTAAAATTGTTTAAAATTGCAGGAAAATTTGCTTGCAATTTTTTATCATCAAAGGGATTAGAAAGTATATAATTTTAATTTAATTAATTTAATTATTTATTTAATTTAATTTATTTAATATTATTATTATATTTAATTAATTTAATTTATAAAATTTAGATTTTAAGTATTTATTATTATTAGTATTTAATTGTATTTTTTAATTTATATTTAATTAATTGATATTTAAAAAATAATTTTTTTTATAAATAATAATGTAAGGTATTTTTATTTTTATAATATTATTTAATAATTAACTTTAATTTTTTACTTAAATATATTAACTATTTGATTTTTTATTTTAATTTTTTATATATAATTATCTATTTATATTATACATTTTAAATTAATTAATTACATATTAAATAAAAATTATTATAATTATTATAATAAATATTATATTTTATTATTTTAAGTAATAAAATATTAATATTAATATTAATAATATAAAATTTTTATTTAAAAAATAAATTATATTACCAAAGAATTTCAAAAAAAATATTTATAAATATTTTTTAAAAAAAGTAATTATACAAAGATATAATTTTTTATAATAAGGAAATCTAATTAAAATAAAAAATATTAATGTTAATATATTAGATTTAGAGAATTTGTATTAATATTAGTTTTGAACTTATTTATAATAGAATTATTAGTAAGTATATAAAGTAAATATTTAATTTTTTAGATTTTTCTACTTTTTACTTCAAAGCATATAAGCTATTAATGTAAATAAATAAGATATATTAATAATAATTTCATTTTATAAAGAAAAAACTTAAATAATTATCTTATTGAATAATATAAATATACTTAAAATTATATATTTTATAAACATAATTTAAGAAAATTTAATTATTAATAAACAAATATTTAAATATATAAAACTATATTATAATTAAATTAAATTACATGTAAATTATTGAGATAGATTCAATTTCAATTTTAATGATTTCTTGAATTTTTCAAATTAGTCGTATTTCATAAATTCTTAAGCAAATAATGAATCATGATATGTATTAAATGTTCAAGAAATTCCTTTTTAATAATCTTAAGTTAGTATAAGTCTAGATGATACTAGATTTAATTCTTTGAAAGCAATGAATTATTTATACACTTGATTTTCCTTTTAGCGGCATATCAATAATAATCTTTTACGATACATATGAATTAATTGTATAATACAAGTTCCATACTATAAGATGATCAAAGTCCATACTTTAAAATTTATGTTTAAACATCTTTCCTGTTTTGCAACCAAATTCATCAATCTTAAATTCTAGATTATTAAAAGTAGTTGTTTCTGCACAAATACAAGTAGCTATGGGCAACTAGCAATTAATCTCGTCAAAAAAAAAAGTTATCCATTTTATGTGAAAATTTATTTTCTTATGACTGTTTCTTCATTTTTTTAAATACTCAATAGTGGCTCTTCGAATTGACCAAAATATGTATCGTTCATTCGAGATAAATTGTTCGGCCTAAATTATTCGGTTAACAGCACGGGTGTGATGAGAATCATAGTAGCGATGGCATCTGCAGTGACGACGTCATTTCTATAATGATGATCGTTATGCGTTTCGGCGTAACTTGTCACACACATATTTACATATAAGGTTGCAAATACAGTATTACATTATATTACTTTTTTATTCAAACCTTTCTTTATTTCATATCTCGTTATAATATGAAAGATAAAAAAAATGCAAGTGAATGGATCAACTGGATTGAAGAGATAACTACTAAAAAACATATCAAATATTACGATTATGAACAATTTAATAATTTTGTAAAAATTGGTAGCGGACATTTTGGAAGTGTCGAGCGAGCAAATTGGAAAAATTCTGGTCAGGTTTTTGCGATAAAAACTTCTTATAAATTTAACATTAAAGAACTTATTCGTGAGGTAATTACTGAGAAAAAATACTTATGTCAGTTTATTTCTGTTTGGAATGATTTTGTTTAAAATAAATTTATTTAGCTTGAACTTCAACGTGACGTTTTTCATGATAATATCATTCGCTTTTGTGGTATTACAGCTATTACAACTTCAAATGAAGGTATAATTTATATGCTTATTAATTAAAGATGTCGTGAAATAATAATAATATATATGCGTTTTATTGTTTTAGAAAATCCAAACTTCGAATCTAAAAAGTATATGTTAGTAATGGAGTATGCTGATAGTGGCACACTTCAATACTATTTGAAGAAAAATTTTGATGATCTTATTTGGAAAGATAAATACAATTTGGCATACCAATTGTCTTGTGCTGTTTTATGTATGCATGATGAAGGAATTATACATCGTGATTTGGTAATGTATGGTTTATGCATTTATTTGTTATTATATTCATATTAAAATTCCTCATATATATATTAGCATTCCAATAATGTATTAGTACATAATAAAACTATCAAGCTGGCTGACTTTGGGCTGTCTAAAAGAATTGAAGAAGAATCCTCAAACCAATCATCATCAAAATCAAATTATGGAGTACTTTTTTATATTGACCCCAATAAGCTTAAAAACAAACAATATAAACTAAATTTAAAGAGTGACGTTTACAGTATTGGGGTGCTCTTATGGGAGATAACAAGTGGACGTCCTCCTTTTGATGATCCACATAACATAGATTTATTAACGGAAATTCATGAAGGTCGTAGAGAAAAGATCATTCCCGATACACCTGAAGCTTATGTACAAATTTATACCGGTAAATATATTATGAAACTTAACTATAATGCAAGAATATATTTTTTTCGTATTATTAATCATTACAACATTTTTTCTTTTAGAATGTTGGAACGATAAACCAGACAACCGTCCAAACATGAGTCAAGTTGTTTCTAGATTAAAAGCAATTGCAAATATAAGTAATGGAATAGAAAATAATCAAATGAGCATAAAATCTAGTCATCAATTATCAAAAGAACAGCAGGTTAATTCAAATTCTTATTCAAATATTTATAATTCATCACATTATAATTATATGAATATGTGTATGTCAACTAATGATTTCTTCAATAGCAAATCAGTTGTTAATTTAAATTCTGTTTCAAGTATTTATAATTCATCACATGCAGAATTATCCCAAATTATTCACAATAAGAATATGGATGAATCGACTTATGTTCCGATTACAAAATTTTATCTTTTGATCTCAGAAATTGGAACCGCTTTTAACGAAATCTTTGACATTGAAGTGGTTGCCGAACATAACAAACGAACTTGTACTGCATTATTACAAGTAATTCATAAAATATACATGGCCGCTCTCGATTTCAAAGTCAAAAAAAAATAATCAAGAACTTTCTAATCAAAAAAATTATTTGGGTTGGAATATTTTAGTCAATGTAATAATAACAATTAAAAAATTCGCTAGAGAAATTTCTCAAATGAAAACTTTAATAAAATATATTCAAGCAGGCAGTATTGAGAAAAGTTTAAATGAGCTTTGTTCCGACCTCAATGAATGTATCATTTCATTAAAATCCATTAAAGATATAATTCATGTTGAAGATGTAATTAAACAATTCAAAACCGATCAAGTTGATTTAAATAAAGTGAGTTTAAAATTAATCACATTTCGATTTTTAGACAGGTTGTTAATTTATAACATTTATAATCATCATAGTATCTGGAAGAAATGAAAATTGAAGATAAAGAAAATGGTGATGTCAAGAAAATTAGAGAAGAAGTTTCTTCAATGGTGGTAAAAGTCAATGTAATGAATCATACAATGGAAAGATTAACGAGCGTCCATGTTGTTACCTCCGAACAGGATCAAATGAGAATCGATCAAATTTTCCGGGTTCATAAGCTAAATTTATCGAATTATAAAGAAACAAATGATAATTATAAACCACGGCAGGGTGTTACTAAATGGGTTGATGATAAAGGTCAAGAATTTGCATTCAAGAATATTTCTAATGCAAAAGAGGACATAATTAATATACAAAATCAAGTTACAATTCTTAAAGAATTTCAAAATTACCAATATATTATTAAAATTTTTGGACTGGTCAATCATGCGAATATATTCTATTTGGTAACAGAATGGGCTGAATTTGGAAATTTACGCGAATTTTATACAAACTTTAAAGATCGATTTAATTCGGAATTAAAATCACGAATATCCCTTGATATTTCTCGTGGATTAAATTTTCTAAGATCCGTTGAGGTAAATAATAATGAATTATTCAATTGCTTCATTAGCTGTTTTTTAAAAAATAAAGTTTATTTAAGTTTGGAATACTTTTTTTAGATTGTTCATCGTGACGTTAGATCCAAGAATATTTTAATTACATCGGATGAGAAAGCGAAACTTGCAAATTTTAAATTAAGACGTTCTTCAGGTGATGATACATTAAGTCATGCTGTAAATCTAGAACGTGTTCGTTATTGTGCTCCTGAGATGTTGGATAGGGCTCCAAATGTTAAGTATGATCATAGGTGTGAAGTTTTTAGCTTTGGAATCTTACTTTGGGAAATCGCTGAAGCAAGAATTCCGTATGAACAATATGATGATATTCTAGTTATATCCGAACTTATAAAGAAACAAAAATATCGCGAGCCATTTTCTGAAAATAGCTGTATTCCCGAAGAATTCAAAAAATTAGTCCATGATGGTATAAAAAAAATTTATTTTTTGAAATTATTTTTTTTTTGCAAAATTTTAATTTTTTTGTTCTTTAGCTGTTAATCCCGATCCATATTTCAGACCAAAACTTGCTGATATGGTTAAAGTACTTGGAAATTGTTTTAAAGGATATCGGGATAATTCTTTATTAAAATCTTATAGTTTAGATCCTTCAACAAACCAAAATTTCAAATTGACAAAACCAAAACGATCTTTCAATTTCGATCAAGATGATGAATTACCAGATTTTGGATCATTCGGTTACATGACACTTTCTGAAGCAGAAAAACAACATAAATCAAATGGAGATAAAGTTGCAGCATATAAATGTTTCGAAGCATATTCAAAATTAGATCAAATCAAGGCCAAATATTGGAAGGCATATTACATTTCAAAAGGATTCGATGAATCACATCTTAGCCCTAAGGATAAAGATAAAATTGCTGCGGGTTTATTTAAAGAAGTCGCCGATGATGATGAAGCAAATGAATTTCCTGAAGCGAAATTAAGATATGGAGATTGTCTATATAATGACAAAGGTGTTGAAAAGAATATTTCAGAAGCTCTCGAATATTTTGTAAAGGCTGCAGATAATGGCCTTAGGGTAGCAATGTATAATGCAGGACAATTGTATTATTCTGACATTGCTGGAAAAAAAGATCAACAAAAGGCTATTCATTACATGAAATTGGCTGTTTATAATGAATATAAACCTGCTATTAAATTTTGTAGGACAAATAACATTGTATTTTAATTTAATTTATTCTCTATTAATTAATTTAATATGTTTTTGATCATATATGATTTTTTATTAATAAATAGATTTTTATTTTCTATCGTTGAAAGCTAGTTATTGATTAGTTTGAGATTTAATAATTTTTACTATGGTAGATACGCACTATTAGTATATCACTTTACAATCAAATAATTTCTTTCCCATGAAAGGTTTTCCCTTTAATTGTCATTGAACAAATCATCTTAGTATATAAAAAGTAAATCTTTATTTATAAAATATTTATGTTACGATTATATAAAGAATTAGGGATATTAAATTGCTTCAATAAAGATTGCTTAAGCTGAGTTGAGCATAAACTTTCGTAACAAGTTAAAATATGTGTTCTAAACATGCTTATAGCTTTGCTTCAAAGAGTATATACAATTTAATTCAAGAGCGGTTATTTAAGCGCATTTGATCTAAATAGCTGATTTTATCAGAATATTTAATAGATTAAAATATCATTACACGGATTTATATGATCATTATACTTTGTCCGTGGGGTAATTTGTCACGGAGAGAGTTTATTTTAAACTTTTATTTATAAATATATAATTATTGAGTATAAGCAAGAAAGTATAATTGCGAATTTGAATATAATCTTTTTAAATTATATGTGGCTAAAAATTACGCTTACTTATTCATTATTGCATTGCCTTTATGAATTAGATGGCTATCATCTTAAATCTCTTTATTTTGTAGAATAATTTTTCAATTATAAAAATATGGCTTTATGAAAATATGCTTGTGAAATAATCGCCTCCCTACTCAATAAAAATTTATTTGTGAAAATATTGCTTTAAAAAAGCAAGGACGAACTAATTTTATAGCAACTTCATTCTTATTTTCTATTAAAAGTGTTTTTAGTTTTATTTTATAAAAAAAATGCTTAAAAAGATTTATTAGTGATAATTTTAATTCTTGATGTTATAATAGTATATTGTTTAAAATTAAAATGAAACTTTTTTATGATAAAAATTGTAATATAAAAGAGGAAGAAATAGATAGCAATGATAGAAGTTTATAATAATCATGGCAGAATAATAATACCGTATGACTTCACAGTAAGCAATGCATGATTGGATATTTGTCACGAAGTGGCAAAATCCCAATCAAATGCATTGATTACTGTGAACCGTAAAGTAATCTCTTATAACCTCTAAATAAGCGGATTTGAACTAATTTGTTTGTATCAAGACTAACTATTTTAGTTAATCTAGATATCCGAGTTTGAATTAATAATCGAGCTCAATTGCTCAAAAGCTCGTTTTCACAAAATAGTTTATAGTATTTATTTTATTTAATCTTTAGAATTATCAAATTTTAATATTGTTATCTAAAAGAATAAAAAAAATTATTCATTTATCATACGTTGTTTTAGGTATATGTTATTATATTATGTTCATAACTTTATTTAAATAGCAAAACATCCATGTATTAAACTTAGTGCAGAATATAACAATGTCGTAGCCTGCGATTGAAACAAAAAAAAATGATGCAATAAGAAAAAATAAAAAAAAATAAAAAAAAAAAAAAACAAAATGATGGTTACCAAAGCGATCAAGTTAAAAAGATCTAATAAAAATTATTATTAATAAATCAAAAAGACAAAGCTAAAAACAAACAATTGTTCGTTCATACTCCGAAATGTTCGAATCTGAAAAGCAATAATTTTTTATTCAATTGCTATAAAAAAAAATATTATTAAACCATAAAATTTGTAAAAATTACATAATTTAATATTTTTTTTGATAATAAATTTTTTGAATAAATAAACTTATTATTGTATTGTCCAGTGATAAAAAAATTGATTTCCCATAAAAAAATATTCGATTAATCACGTCACGATTACTCGATTCTATAATTGGTTCTACTTTTAGAATCGATTCCAATCCCTAGGTTGGATTACTACAGCCTGTATCAATTATATCTGTGTATTTTTATTAATTAGTATTATATTTCGAGTTGACTTTCTTGTAAGTAAACGCGACATATAATTAATTATTATTATTTTAGTTTTAATTATTTTTTTTTTATTATTTTTAATTTTTTATACTTTTCATATTGATCGCTTTGGAATGTAACGATTGATTTTTTTGCTAGTATACTATACAAAAAGGAATTAAATCATAAAGCAATGGAATGGGTCTCCCTAATATTATTTTGTTAATAAATAGCATGCATGTGATGGAGGCCGTTGAAATAACGCGTAAGATCCATTATTAAAATGACTTTGAACTTTATTTCATTTATTGGATAACTAATTTCGTATTAAAAACAAAGTTGTATATCACAATATTCTTAATGAACTAATTTAATAGAAATTAAAGGAGAAATCCGAATTTTACCAATTCAAATAATAATATTGTTTCTGATAAAACGGTTTAATAAGGTGTCTCTATAAATTTAGTAAGAAGACTAGAAATAATAATTTCAAATAATATTTTTCATATTTAATATAAAATATCAATCATAAGCATAAGCATAAAGAATAAAGAATAAAGCATATCAATTTGCTACAGTGATTACATTCTGTAAGTATTTATAAAAAATCCTGTCGCCTACTTTAAGGATTACCATAAATAATAATTTTAATGTTTTATAAATGTATCTTTTAAATTTACAATAATTAAATTCAGAGCAAATAAATAGAAATAAGCAAGTATTCAAACTTTTAAGTATAATATTTATTCATATTTTTATTTTAAAAAGATTTATTTATGAAAAAGATACACGGCTTAATACTGAAATTGAAAAAGTAATTTCATTTGATTAAAAATCATGTGCTCAAACTATATAACGGAGTGTCGTGTAGCAAGTCCTATTGTGTCCTCCGTTTGGGTACATTTTTTAGTGATTGAAACTTATGGTCTAGTAATTTGTCTATTCGTAGGTACGTATTTGCTTGCTTTTAAAAATGAAATCGTTCTTCATGAAAAGCCTAACACTCGGCAGTGTGTTTCATTAAACATTTTTATCGCCAGGTGGATGTATGAAATATTTTATCAATTTTTGAACTGATGATATTTAAAAATCTATTTTTTTTAAAAAAAAAAAAAAATTTCAAAATTTTTAATAATACTAAAATAATATTTTTTAATTATAATTTAAATTAACTTGATTTGCACATTTATTGAATCATACAATCACAAAAAATTGTTTTTTATTTTTGTTGCTTATAATAATTTGATTTTTACTTTTAACTAGGAAATACTTGTTGAAGGATCAATTTCTAAAGAAAATCGTTGTCCACCTTCTGAACTATCTTTATCTTCGTCAAAAACTTCAGCAACATTTATATAATCAAATACTAATTGAGGGTTTGGTTTCATCTTTAAGATGTTTCTATAAATGAAGAATAAATAGAATGAATTTAATTTATGATCAAATAATATAGCAACAAAATTCAAAAAAAAAATTACTTACTCATAAATAAAGATAAGGTCATAATATAATATCATAACGGGGTTAACCATATACATTACAATATAAAAAAATATATTATAATTATAATTAAATATAAGTTGTTCTTTATATAAAAGTGCAAATGTCAAAAAAATTGGAAATCGAATGCCTATATTAATAGCCATTATAAATAATGGTTTATTAATCTAAAGATCAATTAAAAATCAATTAATTAAAATACTTATAAAAATGAAAAAGGTCAGTCATTGAAAACAAAACTTACTTTCTTCTTTACATTTAACCACTTCTCTAATTTAAGGTTAATATTTGTAATATCAGATTTTTCTTTGACGGTTTTTATTTGATAATTAATTACCCAATTCAATCTCTTCCAAATAAAAAAATTAACTACAAGAAATAATGCCGATTCACAAGGCCAAGTTATAAAAAGTATTTTAAAATAATGGAGTGCTTTATCAAGTGTTTCAGGCTGGTCTGCATATAAACCCAGTTTTATTGCAATTGGTAGATGTAAAAAAAAAGGATGTATTAATATGAAAATTCCTATGCAATCTAACATAAATTTATTTGGTATAAGTTTTTTTGTGGCCCCTTCTTTATCGTCCTCAACTGGAGGCGTTGCATAAACTAATAAAAGAAGGTTAGCTGAATTATTCAATGAAGTCGATTTAATTATGCAAAAAAGGTAAATAAATGATTAAATACCAAGGCCCAAAGAAAGAATACCACACATCGATGCTATTAAAACATAAGGCATTATACCTACGACTAAGAAAACGAATAAAACAAAATTACAATCAAAATAATTATTAAAGTAATAGACCAGGATGTTTTAAATTTCACTTACTTTCAGCCCAAAGAACATTAGGATAAAGTTCAAAAAGTAAACTTGCCCCATTAATTGTAAGCGCTAAATTAAAATACTATTATTCATACATATACATTTGCGAATTTTACCAAGATTATCCATATTTTAACTCACCTAAACTATAGACTAGATTATTTAATTGATGTGAATGTAGCGGCCTAAATCTAAATAGAAAAATGCAGATGAATTAAATTAATTGACAAATATGGAAACAACAATGATAAGGTATTTTAAATACCTAAGAAGTCCTCTTTCTTTCGTGGGTGGCATGAGCATAGGCTGATTTTTAACTATTATTAAAAAATGTAAATTCACTACACTGAGAAAAACTACGAGAAAATTAAGTATTAGTGTAATCCAACTTGCTATAATAAAAAATTCATTTTGATCGCAACGATAAATGTTTATCCTAAAGTCGCATGCGCAAATTTGTGTGGAATCATCTTCAAAAGATTTACAAATTCGTGCATAACTGTTATTTAACTGAACCATTATTTTTTATAATTACATCGAATGAAGTTGGTTTAATTTTATTTGTTAAAGTATAAAGGAGGAATTTTATCGATTATTTATACAAATTGTAAAAACTATTTTTTTCTGGAATGTTTGTGTCACAAATAAAAATTCGTATCTAAATCTTTTAATACATTTTAGTGTAACAAAAATAATGCACCAATAAGTAAAAATTGGTCTTTATTCGCTAATTACGCCACGTTTAACAATAGTATAAAAATAATTTAAATTATTTCGCATAAATATGAATGATTATTTAAAAGTTGATTTTTAAATATAGTTAACCACAACTTATGAAATGATTTGATTATTTATCCAAATTACTGAAATCCATTAGGATTAAAAAATCGGTTCAAAAACAATTATAATTATTCTATTTAGGGTCGATTCTAAAAAATTGGATCCGTTAATTTTTAACCAGTTAAATAACGGAAGAAACTGTTACAGTGGCGTCAAAGGTATTGCATAACCGAACACAAATTTGAAAATAGTAACTCCTTGTGATTAAGGAGGCAATGTTACAAAACTTTATGAGTACGTCAAATCCTATTTATCAATCTGTAAATCTCTTTTTTTAGGTAATTGAAGGATTTCTTTCCTGACCGTTTTATATTACAATTATTCAATTATTTCGACTTACCCATATTAACTGCGCCAAAATTGATCATCGCAGCACAGACTGTCATTTCTGACACTTCGAACCTTTCTGATCATTCGAACCATGTCAAATTGGTCATTTTTGACATCAAGATCAATTAAATTATGTCCGTTATTTTAAGGAATTCCGTATCAAAGCCACGAGAACGAAAATTAGTTTTAATTTGCTCTTAGTTTTCTATAGGATAGAATCAGAATTATTCTTTTTTCCTCTAAAGAGCGCCGGCTGAGATCGACATTCATCCAATTTTTCGTTAAAATAAATTATTTTAATTACCTCCCTTACGAAAACGATATTAAAACAAATTTATTTATATTTTTTATATTAATTTAAATTAAAAAAAAAAAAAATTTCATAAAATTAGAAATTTCTTTAAAACTTAAAAGAAATTTAAGCTTATTTTTAATAAGTAACATTAATTAAAAATTAAACATTAATATTTTGAAATAATAATTAGGAACAAATATGATTTTTAGAACCTTTCAATTTTTTCAATTCTATGCATATTATAAATAAATATAAATATAAAAATAAATGATTTTTAAAAATATTATATAGAATAAATATCATAATATTTTAATAACTTGTCATTAATCTAAGTTATTCTAATAAAATAAATAATATATATATATATATTAAAAGATTATATTAGTGTAATAGTTTATTCGCATATTATAAAAATAATATAATAGAATATTCAGCATTCCACATATCCATCTATCTTTTTGAATCAATAAGTTTATACATCTTTGGGGACAGTGCGTTTTGACTTGTAACTTGAAAACTTGTTTTATTTCTGTATCCAATGGGTTTTTATTTACTTGGAATTATTATTGACATATTTTTATTATTAGAATCTAAATAAAAGAAAAAAGATTATTTAAAACTATTAATTTGACAAACAAATTGATACTTACATCCCAATACATATGTTTAATATCTTTTCTTTTTAGATGTTATTTTGGTTTTTCTCCTTATATTTGTTTAATCAGGTTTAATAGTCTAGTCTTGTCGTCAGCATTGTAAAAAGCGCAAAAGCTTATAGTTCTCAAATATTTTACATCTTATTTTATTATTGCTTTCTTTTAAAATATTAACTATTATATGATATTTTAACTGTTCTTTAAGTATTTTATCAAGTACAGATTAAATATTTGCATTAAATTTTAAATCTAAATAAAAGAAATAAATATAAATATAATGTTTAAATGTCTATTATATATTACATATTATATAAATTATTATATAAATAAAATAATTAATAATTCACAATTTATTAATAAATCATTAAATATTTCTAGCTTCTTATGCTCAACGTCTCCTATATTATCATTATAAGGTATAATTCAAGAAGGTTAAAATATACTATATAAAAAGAATTCATACTACTAATCTGTTATTTCATTAAGTTAAGATATTATTGATGTTATTGAAAAAAGACTAGTGTTCATTATGGCAGATTTGTTTAATTTAGATATTGGTAATACTAACATTCTTTGTGTTATAATATCATTTACTCTTAAAGCAAATAGTTTATTTATTTTTATGAATTACTGCTAAAGCTTACTAGATTTGTCTAAGAATTTCAATTGTTTTTTAGTTACTTTCATAAGCAGTCATTACTATTATTTAAGTCTTAGTTCTTATTTTTATATATCTTTTGATATTTTCTTTTCTGATGCTAATCAGTTATTATATTATATATCAACAAGACAAAAAAAGAAAATCATAAAATATATATATATCATTTTTAAAAGCTGATCCTTACTAATGACTGAATTATCAAGTCTTATCATATTATCATCAAAAAAATATATATAAGGAATTGGTAAGTTTAACAAAATATTTTGTATTATATATTTAGTAGATATTTCTTTAATGCTAGAATTGATATTTTAGATTTTTATATAGATATAATAATATCTTTTGCTTTTTATTCTTAACTAAGGCTTTTTGATTTGCATTTCATTTTTTTTTAGGTCTGACCTACAATGAAATGTAAAAAAAGAGAATTACTTCTATCATATATATTATGAAAAATAATCTTAAAATAACTTATCATAAATATTTATATAAATTATTTTTAAAAGTTGAAATAAAATCTTTAAAGCTAAGTATATCTTTAAAGAATAAAGACGGTGTGTTATATTTAATATTATAATTGTCAATTTTATTTCTGTATCTTATATTCAATAATAATACTATTAGTTAATATTCGTTATACAAAGAAAAAATAAAAATAAAAAAATGTTAATTAGTCGATATAATATATTTATCACTAGTCGAAATGGATACAAATCGGCTAAAAATCAGATTGATGATTGATGGCCGATTGATGGCTGATTTAAGTTTAATTTACATTAATTCTAATTAACACAATATGAGTCAATCAGAAATATCAATCAGTCATTAATCGCTATCTAAAATTGGCCTAAAAACTACCTAAATTTGATTATCAATCAATTTAAATCAGTCTAAAATCAGCCAAACAAATCAGAATTAATAATAACTAATTTATATTTATTTAAATTTTATTAATTTTATAATTTTATAATTTTATTATTTGTACATAATTATTAAATGTGATTTTTTTAAAAAAAAAAATAAGAAAATAAAGAAATAATTAAAAATCCATTTCAAAAGTTTACTTCAATTAACCTAAATAAGATTTATTTATAAAAAATAAAGTAAAATAAAGGAATAAGTTAAAATTTCTTAAAGTTACCTTTGATTGACTTATTATAATGTATTCCTAAAGAATATAAAGAAAAATAAAGAGAAAGATAAAAAATCCAAACAAAAGTCACTTCTGAGTACTTACCAAGATGATAATTTCCTAAAAAAAATAAACAAAAAAGAAAGAAAAATAGTAAATTTTCATTCAAAACGTCATCTCAGATTTATTTGTCTTAATTCTAAATGTGAATTTTCCTAAAATATCAAGAAAAAAGAAAGGAAAATAGTAAAAAATACACCCAAAAAGTCACCTTTAATTTACTTACCAAGATGATAATTTTCTAAAAAAAAAGAAAAAGAAAGAAAAATAATAAATTTCCACCCAAAAAGTCCTCTCTGATTTACTTATAAAGGTGATAATTTCCTTAAAAAAAATGAAAAATGAAAGGAAAATGATAAATTTCCACCCAAAAAGTCCCTTCTGATTTACTTATTAAGGTAATAATTTTCTAAAAAAAAAAAGAAAGAAGAAAGAAATATGATAAATTTCCACCCAAAAAGTCCTTTCTGATTTATTCTTAAAGAAAATAAAGAAAAAATAAAGAAAACAGATAAAAAACCAAAAAAATCACATCCAATTTACTTATTAATGTATTACTAAAGAAAGTAAAAAAAAAAAGGTTAAATCATTCAAAACGTTACCTTAGAAAGGCTTATCTTAATTACGAAAAAATAACTTCCCTAAAAAAACAAAGAAAATTAAAGAAAAAAAGGGTAAAAACCATCCTAAAGTTATCTCCAAAAGGCTTACATTAGTTTCGAAAAAATAATTTTTTTCAAAAATATAAAGAAAAAAGAGTTAAAACTATTAAAAACTTGCCTTCGATTTACTTACCTTAATTCCTAAATGAGAATTTTCCTAAAAACAAGAAATATGAAAGGTAAAAGGTAAATTTCCGTCAATAAAGTCACTTCTGATTTACTTACCTTATTTCCAAAATGAGTATTTTTCTAAAAATCAAGAAAAGAAAGGAAAATCCATTCAAAAACTCACTTCTGATTTCCAAAATAAGAATTTTCCTAAAAAACAAGAAAAATAAAAGTAAAATAGTAAATTTCCACCTAAAAAATCACCTCTGAATGACTTACCTTATTTTAAAATGAGAATATTCCTAAAAAAACAGAAAGAAAAATGATAAAAATCTTTCAAGATGAGAAAATTTCTAAAAAAATACAGAAAAAGAAAGGAAATAGGTAAAAAAGGAAAAAAAAATTTCGGATAAATCTAAAAGTTTATCAGTTTTATAATGTAATAAAAAATGTTGATTAATATGATATTCTTTAGCCAATTGGATGGTTTTGTATTATCCAATTTTAATGATTCTTTTCATTATCTTTATCGAACGATAGTGTATCATCCCGAAGGGATGATGATTTGATAATTCCAATCAGATGAATTTACATCATCTGATTGGAGCGATATTGAATCATTCTAATTAAACGATCATCATTCCAAAAGGAATGATTTTTTATCGTTCAAATTGAACGATCATTATTCCAAAAGGAACGATTTTTTATTGTTCAAATTGAATAATCATCATTCCAAAAGGAACGATTTTTATTGTTCAAATTGAATGATCATCAT